GCTGTGGTACTGTGAAATCATAAAGTATGCATAAAGACCACTCAATCGAGACAGATGTACAGCAAAGGCAGAACTCATAACTCCACCTGTACTTCAAAACTGGTACCTGGCATCCTTCCCATGTCTTTCTGATCAAATCTGAAGGTATTCAGTAAAGAGCTGATTATGCATTAAGCTACTAAATTAAATCCTGTTGGATATAAGCACTTGTGAAAACCAAAGTCCCAATCTTACCATACTATTTAACTTAATCTGTCAGCAAACAAATGTCAGGAGCTCCTGATCCAAAGATGGAATCAGGAAGTGAAAGTCTCCAGAAGACTGCTATCTAACCCATTGTTTCTTGGGGACTACTATTGAAAAAAATTTAAGGAACTGCTTTTCTATGCTACTCTTGTTTTCCTTAGAGACATGGAGTTCTCCCTCTCTCTTGGAATTGTTTTTCCCCTGCATGCACTGTCAGAGAGGCTGGAACCATTCTGAGCTTCATGGCCATAATGGCCACATGCCCTTTTCCTAGGGTGGGATCCAGCAGCTCTGCAGCAAAAGTGACATCTGTGGGTCTTCATTTGATCCTTGTGCTGTTTCCCCCACAGGAGAGGACTGGGCAGCTTTCCTTGGTTTAGACTGGGCTGTGTCATAACAGAGCTCCTGGAAATCATGCCTTACCTTAGTGCTATGCCAGGTCCTTCTAGCAGCACTCCATAGTCACGGGAGATTTGTTTGGTGAGGTCTGACAGAACTGGAATATTCATTTTGCCCAAACCGCCACTCTGGAGGAGAGTAAGATTCCATTTGGTTACAAAACACTTGGATACTCTTTAGGGTAAACTCACTCAAAACACAATCATTCCATTTGTTCCATGAAAGGAACCAGGAGCGTGTGTTGTTGTTTGGGTTTGTTTTGTTTGTTTTAAAGTAGTCAGAAACATTTGGTTTCTTTGCAACATGAAAACCTGTTTTGCACTGAGCACTTTAGAGCTGCATATTTTGGTGGTAAAAGGCAACCAATGGCAACAGTCACAAATTTTCAGGAAAATTTCCATTGTACTCTAATCAGGAGCTTTGAATACAAAAATTTCTACTGCATATTTAAGTGTTCAGAATTAAATAAGATGAACATGGTGGGGAGGGAAGGGAAAAGTGCATATTGTGAACAAAGAAATGTTGAAGCACAAGTCTTTGGGCACAGGTCTTACGAGGAACGGCTGAAGGAGCTGGAGAAAAGGAAGCTCAGGGGGGACCCTGTCACTCCCTAAAACTCCCTGACAGGAGATTGTAGTGAGGTGGGAGCCAGTTTCTTCTCCCAGGTAACAAGTGACAGGACAAGAGGAAATGGCCTCAAGTTGCACTAGGGGAGATTCAGATTGGATATTAGGAAAAACTTCTTCCCAGACAGGGTTGTCAAGCATTGGAACAGACTGCCCAGGGCAGTGGTGGAGTCACCACCCCTGGAAGTGTTCAAAAACCATGTGGATGTGGCACTTGAGGACATGGTTAGTGGTGAACATGGTGGTGGTGCAAGGTTGATGGTTGGACTTTATAATCCTAGAGGTTTGTTCCAACCTTAACGATTTTATGATTCTAAGCACACACGCCTGGTATGTCGGAGTTCTGCTGCTCTATTCAGTGCATGCATTTTTTTTTCTTCTCCTCCCACAAATCAATTTAAATACTATTTGGAGAGTCAAACAAGATTTCTTTCAGTTTTGCTACATACTGGAACTGCAAGAGAAATAAGCTCTCTAACCTTGAAACAAGGCTGGAGTTTGTTAGCTTTGCTATTCCTGGCATCACCAGTGAATCACTGTGTAATCTCAGTCACTCAGACCCTGATCCTGAAAACACTTGGCTGCAACAGAGTTCTCACAGGCAGAGCTTTGGGCACAGATGTCAGAGAAACCAAGGCCTCAGCTTCTCTGGGTGTCAGCTTCCTTTCAGCACCATCATGGAATTCCTTCCCCCTGTGCAGGGTGTTTTGCTACACATGCACTGAGCAGCACGGCTGGCACACACTGAGCAGCTTTCCAATAAATCCACAAAGTCAGTCCACAACCACATTTTAGAGCTTCGAACAAAGCATTCAGAGAATAAACATCCTTGATAGGCTCAGCCAAGCTGTAATTAAATCCAGCAAACTGTCCTGGCCCCCCTGCATGTCACAGCAGTGCCTGAAGGCACCCAGCCTGTGAGCACTCCTGCACACTGCTGCCCGCACGGGTCATGGCTGATGGCACAGCCTGCACCTTCCTGTGACACCTGAGATTCTTTACAACTAACTCAGCTGGTGAGGTCCTTCATGCAACTAAGAGCATGTATTTTATATACATCTGAAAGAGGCTTCTCTCCAGTTCAAGGCTGTTTTCTCACTTTCTTTCCCTAAAGAAAGCCAAACCCCTCCATTTACACTGCAAGAGCAGAACCCTTTCAGCAAGTGAGAGTTAATAATACAAGTGCTCCAATAAACTGGTGGTTCTTCTGCTTCCCTTCTGAAGCCACCACTGTTAGGCACTGCATAACAATAACAACTAGACAGCTTCTGTTCATTTTCTGTCATAGTTTCTGTGCACTATCAGCTGTAACAGATATCTTAGGGCTGTGACATGTACACTGAGCATTGTCTTTTGAGATAAATGTACAAGAATAAACATTACTATCAACAGAGCAAAACGTTAAAAAAACCAAGTAATTAAGAAAAAGAGAAAGCAAACAAAGATTGATGTCAGAATTATGTCAACAAATGTAGAAGTTAATCACATGCCACTTTAGGCAGTCTATTAAAAAATCAGTGTTGGCACAATTATTTATTCAGTTCCTCTGGAGCTCTTGTGAAAAGAAACCAAACCAACAGAAAAAGCCTGAAACAGATGGTTGATTCATACCTTTCGTGGTGTATTTATCCAGGCCAGATGACAAAAATGAGAGTCCACTGAAACTGCCACCACTTCACAGTTCACATCACGAAATTCATTTGCTTTGTTGCTGAAAGCCACGATTTCCGTGGGGCAGACAAAGGTGCTGGGTGGGAGGAGAGATCAGGCTGTAAATGGTTCTACAGTCCTTTCCGGGAATTTTTTAGAAACGACTCTCCTGTCCGTTTCTAGGCACTAATGCAGCAGAGCGTTTTCTTTAGCCCGGTAATTTTAACCATGTTTCCTGTTCAAGATTAGTTTCACTCTCAAACCAACAGTCATAGCTGTGGAGCTGGCGTGCCAGTTTCCATAACAGATTCTTTGCAAAGATGAAGAAACTGCCTCTGCTAGGCACTCTCTAAACAGAGAGATTTTGGAAACTATAGCAGGAAGGACTGCAGGTTAAACCCTCCCTCGCGTGCCTACCAGGATGCTCTTCGAGATTTAAGTCTTCTGACAGACTTAACCCCATCGGGTCACATTTTGCCTTGCAGCCATGAAGCTGCAGTTCTGCTGGCCCTGCTGCTGCCTAAAGGAGAGTCTCCAAGGCAGCCCCAAATACCCTCAAACCAAACACCCTCACCCTTGGGGTCTGACCGTAAGAGGAACCACATCCACCTCCTGAGGCAGTCCCTGCAGGCAGAAGATGCTCTCCCGCCACCACATCCACTGCTTTAACACACAGCGGCCATTTGTCCCCAGTCTAATCACCCACGCTCTAGAAACAGGCACATCTGCCTTGCAAGACCGGCCCAAATCGGGTAAAACCAGCGACGACCCGCCGCGCCTGCGGTGACCTTCAGCAGGGCGGGAGGCCCACCGGGACGGGGAGAAACCCGCACTCACAAGTCCAGCGGGTAGAAGAAGAGAACCAGGTATTTCCCCTTGAAATCATCCAGGCTCAGCTCCTTGAACTCTCCGTTCACCACGGCCGTTCCCTTGAAGAACGGGGCGTGCTGTGTCACGGCCGGGCCGAGCCGCGCGGCGCCTGCGGGGCAGAGCAGGGAGCTGGGGCCGGGGCCGGGGCCGGCAGCGCCGTTCAGCCCGCCCGCCGTTCAGCCCGCCCGCACTTACCGGCGCTCAGGGCGCGGCGGGCGCAGGGCGCGGGCAGCGCCGTCACCCTCCTCCCGGCGGCGGCAGCGACGGGCACCTGCGGGGGACAGGGGGTCAGAGCCGGGCCGCGCCGCGCCGGGCAGGGCCCGCGGGCGGGCGGGCACTCACCGCGGCCCGCAGGAGCCTCCCCAGCGCGGCGGCCATGTCGAGCGGCGGGCGGGACGGAGGGACGGGCACGATGGAGGGACGGGCGGGCGGGACGGAGGGGCGAGGGGGCGGGGAGAACCCGGGACCGCGGGAGCGGTTGGGTTAGAAGGGGCCTCCGAGGGCGGCAAGACCAGACTGTGACCGAGCGCCGCCTTGTCAAGGCACCAAGTGCCGCTTCCAGCCTTGCCTTTAATAACGGTGACTCCACCACCTCCCTAGGCAGCCCATTCCAATGTCTAATCACTTTTTATGAGAAGAAATTCTTCCTTATGTCCAACCTAAACCTCCCCTGGTGCAGCTTGTAATCATTTCCTTCTCGTCCTGGGAGCAGAGCCCGACCCCCCCCGGCTCCCCCCTCCTGTCAGGGAGTTGCAGAGAGTGATGAAGTTCCCCTGAGCCTCCTTTCATCCAGACTAAACACCCCCAGCTCCCTCAGCTGCTCCTCACAGAACACGTTCTCCAGACCCTCCACCAGCTCCATTGCCCTTCTCTGAACTCGCTCCAGCCCCTCAATGACCTTCCTGCACTGAGGGGCCCAGAACTGGAGGCAGCACTCAAGGTGTGCCCTCACCATTTCCAGGTGTACCTGGTACTGTACCTGGGCTGAGCCCCTCAGCTGCACAGGCTGTGCTCAGGTGCTGGTGGTGATGGTTGCTCTGGGACCTGGGTTTGGTGTGTGCTGGTACAGGCTGGCTTGTGCTTAGAAGCCTTCCAGATACAGACTTTACAAACGCAGTTGGCTCAGACTTCGCTAAACTCGCTCAGATTATAGTTACAGAATCACAGAATATTCTGAGTTGGGAAGGACCCACAAGGCTCATGGAAGTCCAACTCCTGGCCCTTCACGGGACACCCCAACAATCCCACAATGTGCCCGAGACATTGTCCAAACACTCTTAACTATGACAGGCTTGGTGCCGTGACCACTTCCCTGGGTCCTGATATCCAACCTAAACGTCCCCTGGCTCAGCCTCATGACATTCCCTCAGGTCCTGTCGCTGGTCACCAGAGAGAAGAGATGGGTGCTGCCCCTCCTCTTCCCCTCCCGAGGAAGTTGGAGACTGGAGTGAGGTCTCCCCTCACTTTCCTCCAGGCTGAACAGACCAAGTGACCTCAGCCGCTCCTCATATGGCTTCCCCTCAAGGCCCTTCACCATCTTCATAGCCCCTAACTGTTTAATCATAATGGAACAATTACAGTGTGCCAGCCATGTGCCTGCTCATCTTCTCTTGGCTGTGAGCTGATGCAAACCCAAGTCACTGCCTCATTTCCCTCACAGGCAGTTGCTGCTGGTGATCAGCAGCAGCTCTGTGTTAACCTGAATGTGTCTATGTTTGCCTTGAGGATTGTCCCAGTTCAGTTGGCTGCAGGGACCATCCCTGTGAAGCCACATGGGTCCATCCCTCGGAAGAGCAGTTTGGGTGTGTGTTACCTCTGCAAGAGGTAAGAGAGTCACAAATGCCCATTACAGGCTTCCCATCTCCTGCCAGGGAAAGCAGTGCAGGGAAGGTGTATGGCTTGTGGAAGGGACCACACCTGACATGTGTAAGACTTCATTTCCTTGCAGCTGTGGTTTTCAGAGAGTCTGCTGTCAAAACCCAGGCCCCCACAACTCTTACTCAAGGAGTTACTTGAGCAGAGTCACTTGGGCAGTACGAGGTTTTCTCAGGCTGTTTTTGTTGAATGCCTGATGGTGGCAGCAACAGAGATCATCTTCATGAAGAAGTGCCAGCTGCCTTCCCGTTTTAGGCCATGTGCTCTGGAGCAGCACGAGCAGTGTGCACAGCCCAGAATACTGAAAATCAGCTTCTAAAAGTCCGTTTTTCTTTTCTTAGCTTCTTTCTGTGTGTTCTTTCATCTAAATAGTCAAACTGAGTTGATCCAATTTCCCTTCTTATAGCCAGAGTGACATGAGAGGGAAGAAAATGTGGACACCACAGGATATGGATACCCCAGCGTGGGCTCCACCTGCGTAGTAGTATAACTGCTTCCTGCATCCATTGGTTTCCTTGAATTCAAATAGACATCACAGTTGCTTTTGATTTTGAGGCTGTTCCCTTCAGGCTCAACACCTGCTGTCAGGCTCTGAGTGTGTATTTGAACATGTGTGCACAAGTGCAGCGCTGGGTCAGTGAACTACCAGGCTCTAAGTTAAGGAACCTTCTGTACCCCTTGCTTCTCATTAGTGCTTCATTAAGGGACACCTGAAGGTCTGTGAGAGAGAAGTTCAGTTTTGTCTCTTGCTGATAAACTAGGGCTGCTGAAAAGTGCCAGCTGAATTGGGAGTCTGCTGGGAAGATCACTGGCTGAACAAGGAGCATTGGCTGGCTGAGCTACTCAGTTTAATTGCACATATGTTGCCTAAAATTTAGAGGCATTCTTGCTTAAAAACCCCTCAAAACCTAAAAGTGGAAGCAAGTAAACTATTTGTACATTAGAAAGTATGTCAGGTAGACTGTGGGTGAGCTGTGCCATAGTCTGCAGCCTTGGATTTGGAGAGGAAAGGAGCAATTATGGAAAGTCATGACCACGGCAGAGGTGTTGGAGGTCTTTGTGCCACTGCTGAGGGCTGAAAGTGGAGCAGTGAGCAGTGAAGCTGAGTCGGGACACCTGTGGAGCAGTGACTGTAGGTAGAGAGCAGCAAAACCACCAGCCATTCCTTGGGCCATTTCCTTAAAGAGCAGTGCAGGATGGCGTGTCTGTGTTCAACCCTGCACACCAGGACATCACTCCGATGGACAGACGTGCTCACCCAGACGAGTCCCCTGGGGCTGGGCAGCAAATTGTGTGCCCGGGGGTGGCTGGGCCTCAGTGGTTGCTTTCCCTCAGCTGTGGGAGCTGCATTGTGGCAGCAAGAAAAGGGTTATTGCTCGGATTTCCTGAGGATGGCTGTCTCATCCACACATGATTATTCACAACTTCTAAGGTAACGTATTCTAAACCGATGTCCTTCCCCCCTCCCCGGAAAGTTATATTTGTTTAAAACTCTTTGTTTAAACACTTGGCTTGCAGGTGGGGAAATATTGCTCATGCTTTGTTATGAAGGCAGTATAATTCAGCTTCTCAGGCCTCTGTGCAAAAGCTTGAACTACTGCCATTTAACAGGAGGGATTTTCCACTTTGCTTTTTACTGAGCATCTCTACAGTCTGAAGATGGACCTTGTCACTGCCAAAGCGCACCTGGTAAAAGCTGATATTTTTTCCCTCAGCTCTGGGTCTGGCATGGGCTAGAGCAGCTGCTAAACCTGGTTCTTCTTGACATCAGAAGTTCAGAATAAATCTCCCGAGTGACACCATATGCACTCTTTTTCCAAATCTTGTTGGTTGTCTCCTTTGCTGTCTTTAAGCCTGATTCAAATGGAGACACCTGAAGCTGGGGAAGGACTCTCCAGGGATTTCAGCAGGCTTTAGGGAGAAGTTGATGTACAAGGTGGATAAGACACCTGAATGGGAGAGGTAAATGTTATCTTTGGTTTAGGATACTTGTGCTTCTCCTTTCCTATCTGGAAATAATTAACTATGTCTTTCTCGTGAAAAACTTCAAGCTCTGTTGATACAAAGTACTAGAGAATGCTTGTGTGTTGTTACCATTATTGTTTTGTGAGAGATTTTTAAAGAGATCTTTGAAAGATCATCATTAACACAACAAAATATTGGAGGAAAAGTAGCTCCTTTATCTCCAACCTTGATGAAAGGGGTAAGCAAATCCCCAATCAGATCTGCTGCTATGGGTCACTGAATGGCAGAGTCTGTGCAGAGTATGGGATGCATCTGTCTGCTTGTTTAAAAAATTAAAATCCACTCATCTTCTAGAAGGTTATTTTATCCCTGTGCTCAAGTGCTGTAACAATCATTTGTGATCTACCTCGAGGAAACACACAACTGAAAAACAGGTTTGGAAATGGAAAGAAACAACAGAGGGATAAACAATTTTTATCTAAACCAAAGCAAAAAGTTTTCCTTAGACAACACGATGCATCACCCCGTGGCTGTTGGTAGATGGCAGCCTCTGTCCTTGCACACAGAGGCGCTGGAAAATATTCCAGCTGCCTGCAAATGCTCTCACAGGCCTGTGTGCTCCCACCTGCTGATACCAAAGCTCAGCAGGAGGAGAAAGAATTTGCCCGTTTGTGGCAATAAGTTTCAGAAGCAATTCCAAACACAATGCAGCTTAGAGCTAATCATGAACGGGCTTGACTGCGTTAATTGAGTGTGTTATAGCATGGATTTAGGAGATAGCTGCTGTTAGGGTATGTTTCCAGTTGATAAGTATAGGCAAAAGCCTTGCTGACATCTGGTTCACCGGGGGTCTTATCCTGGCATTTCAAGCAGGCTGTGCTGAGGCCAAGTGGTTTTTCTCTGGTGGCAGGATAAAACTGGGTGTGTTGCTGCTGTGTTTCTGGCTGGAGCTGTGCGAGCCCACCCTGCTGATGACTCATCCTTCGAGTGGCTCAGAATATCACACTGCCTCGCTGCCTCCCTGTTCCTATTGCACTGATGCATTTGGGTCTCGCACGGTGTTGGCGTTTCGTTTACAAACCTCTCTTTTCCCATAAAGGAAAGATGGCTGCCAGCCCTTCTTTATCCTGATGTTCAGCACTTTTAGGTGTTTTTCTGAGCCTTTCCTGAATGACTTCAGATGGAGATTTAAAAGCAGAACAACCAGACACATTAAGCACCTTAGAAAGCACATTTTTCAGAATTTAATTGGGGTTTTTTTGGTAGCTTGTCTTTTTTTTTTTTCCCTTCTAAAATTGGCTGCTTCTGCACATGATTCAGACTAAATTTTCCCTTTTCTCCCAACAAGCACTGAATCAGGAGCTTTAGGCCAGCAAAAGGGACCTGTGTTCCTTCCCTGCCACCCTGTTTTTGAGTCCATGCATTTCAGCACTGGAGTTTATAACAGTGAATGGAATAAGATAAGCACTGAAACAGATTTACAGGTCTCCTGTTTCCCTCTCCCTCACTCACAGAAAACCTGATGGTTCCACTAAATCAGGTGTGGACATGCCTTGAAGTTAAAGCATTGTCACAAAAGAAAATGGATATGAATAAATCTACCTCTTCCTAATTTTTTTTTTTTGGTTGGTTTTGTGAACCAGATGTTCCAGGTGACACAAAAATGAAGACACCAACAGCTATAAAGAAGTCATGAGGTAAGACACCAAAAGCTGCAGTGGGTTTTGCAAAGACCAACTGATGGAGTTTTAGGCAAGAAGGTCTGTGCACTGGCACTTGCTCTGGTGGAACATGGGGGGCCACACCCATGACAGGGGCCATCCATCTCAGGCCAGTGCTGGAAGCAGACCCTTGTCATGTGTCAGCTTAAAAAACTACAGTAGAAAAGAGAGATGCACTGAGGACTGATCATCTTGATTTTGTTTTTCAGAGCAGTGCAGGTCAGTGCTGGTGAACACACCTCCTTCCATGTCCTGGTTGCACCACATCGGCTCGGATTTACTAGAAACGAGTTTCATTTTGTTAAGTAACATAAGAATCACGAAGAAAACCCTCTCCATTGTTCTTACCAATAAACACAGGGTCAGAATCGCTGCTCTTAGTGTAACTGAGACAAACATATTATTGCAGAACCCCAGCAGTCTGGGAGCAGAGCTCAGCCTTCCACTCCCTGCACTCAGCCACATTTAAGTTCTGTGACTCCATTTCAATGCAAAGTCACCCAGCTGAGTAGAAATAACCCCTGTGGCAGCAGCACACACAGAGCTCGATTGCTGCCCCTGTTTCTGTGTAACTGTGCCTTTTGGTTGCCAGGATCATGGAGAACTGTGGAGCTGCACCGTTCATGAGCACTGGGTAGCTCCGTGGGATTCTCGAACTCCAGAGAGACCTGTCATAACTCTTTCGATAAATATATTTACTTTTTCAAGAAGTAAATATTTGAAAGCATACAGGACAACATCGGCATGCTGGAGTCATACTTTTGTCCCAGGGGGTGACACTGCAGATGGCTCTGTGCATCTAGAGGTACACAGAGATATCAGATAAAAGAGGAGCAGTAGAGCTGTCAGGGGCACGTGCTGAATTCCAACTGCAGCTCAAACTTGAGGCCTGCAAGATCTGCTGTCTTCATTTAGGCACCTCTGTAAAAGTTACTCACCAAACACAGTCACTGCTCCCTGTGGAGTCTCCCATGAAGGTAAATCCCTCCCCACTGAGCAGCCTCATCCCGAGATGTGGCAGACACAGTGATGCCCCATTGCTGTCAGCAGAAGTTGAACTTGCTGCTGCAGTGAGCGGTGCTCCACAAAATGGGCACTTAGACACGTGCCTTCATTTTTCCTATGGAAAGAGGAGTTTCTTGTAGCAGTTAAAAACATTCTGTATAATAAAAATTGTCTTCCAGTATCAGCCATGTTGTGATGTTGGTGTTGTCCTTGTGCTGACCATTAGTGGGAGGCTGGGCAGGAATGTGAGATGCACTTACAGCCTGAGAATAATTTTCTGTGTACAAGCAAGCACCAGTGCTTGCACAGAAGTGTTCAAACAACAGGCAGGGCAGATGGTCCTTAGGAGCCTCCTCTCTGTGCTAAGGCTCTGGTTTCCAGGAAGCAATTTCTCCCTCAAGAATTATTTAATCAGAGAAAAATCTTCCGGTACTTACAGACACAACTACTGCTGTATAGAACTTAGCATTACAGAGAAAGTAATCACAACATGGCACAGCTCTGGAGGCCAAACATTTTCTGAAGCAAAAGGAGAGGGATGTGGAAGACTGTACAAAGCAGTGCCGCCCGCTATGCACAATAACTTTCAAAGTTCAAACCTTTGGCACTTAATCAGGTACAAAAGGCATTTATTATAGCAATTTTACCCTAATGCCCTAGGTATTATTCATGAAATGCATTTCCCATTTATTTCCTATATTCAGAAAATGTGTTCTAGACAGTCTGCAAGTTATGCTATTGCAAGTGATTTCTGCCTGGCTGTGGAAATGGATCGGTACAATAAAAAAAGAAGAAAAAACTAGTGTCTATGCTCCACTTACAAGAAGGTGCACATTAATTTGATTTACTTCATGTGGATTTAATCAGTGCAAATACAGATGGGGGAAGAGTGTCAGTGGGAGTAATGGGTCGTTTTTATCCCCTTTCTTTGCTTGACCTGCTGAATCGATCTACCCCGTTGCTAGGAAAATCAGAATCAAGCTGACACGAGCATCTGTGCTACACAGACAGAAGAGAATTTATGTTGTAATCCAGCGCTTAAAATTCACAAACTTTCCACAAGTGGCTGATGTCTCACACAGATGCTTGCAACGGTGAAAACAATAGTGCAGCAGAAATGGGATTCCCTCGGGTACTTCCCGGGGGGGCTTTTGAGATCCCAGGAAAGCCGAGAAGCCCGTGCCCCGGCCCGAGGAGAGGGGCGGGGGCAGGAAGAAGTCTGCGGGTGTCGGCGACCCCTTTCCATGGGAACGAGCCTTTGCGGGGCGGTGACGAGCACGAAGACCCGGGCGGGGGAGCCCTGGGGACCCCGGGCAGGGCAGGGGAGCCCCGGGCCGGGACCGCTGCCACCGGGTGGCGTCCGGCAGCAGGGCTGCGGCGGGACCGGGGCCGCGGGGAGCTCCGCACATCGCTCCGCACATCGCTCCGCACATCGCTCCGCACATCGCTCCGCGCATCCCAGCGCATCCCGCGCATCCCCAGCGCCCGACACCCACTCGCGCCCTCTCTGTCCGGCCCCTATCCGAGTCCCTACAAGCGCTCTCGCCCTCCCCGTCCCCGGGGACGCTGCGCGGGTGCGGAGCCGGTGCCGGGTGCGGCGGGGCCGCCCCAGGACTACAGGTCCCGGCGTGCCCGGCCCCGCGGAGCCGGCGGCGGGGCGGGGGCCGGCGCCTGCGCGGGGCTGCGGGGCCGCTCCGCGGTGCCACACCCCCGGGGGAGGGAGGCAGGAGCGCCCGAGCCCTCAAACCACCGGGGGAGCCGGCGGGGCGGAGGATGGAGTAGCGGGGCGCGGCGGTGCGGGGAGCGCCGCCTCCGCCCGGGGAGCGGGGAGGCAGGCGGGGATGATGCGCGGGGGGATAACGCGCTAGGGGCAGGAGGCGGGTGGTCGCCCGGAGACTCCGCACCTCGGAGTGACGTCCTGCTGCAGTGCCGCTGCCTGCGCTGCCCGAGCTCGTCAATGGAGCTGGAAAACATCGTTGCCAACACCGTTTTGCTGAAAGCCAGGGAAGGTGAGAGAGCGGCGGGAGGGGAGAGGGGGCTGGAGCATCCTTGTCGCAGTCGCCCCTCCGCGGAGCGGTGCCCGCGGGATGCGGGCGGGCACCGGCGGGGATGCGCGCCGGTCCCGCCGGCGGCGGCTTTCGGGGTGCCATGTGGCTGTGCCGGTGTTAGAAACGGCTTGTTGGAGACAGAGTCACGGTGGAAAGGAAAATACCGCTTTTTCCCTGTGCGCGGGGGTTTGGGAAAGGAAGTGAATGAGATTGCAGAGATTACAATATTCACCCATCTCTTCCTTCCCCCTTCCCGCCCCCCCTCCTCAAATCTGGTCCCACAGATTGTGCTATTTCAGCGTCTATTGTTAAAGGTCAGCTGCAGATGCATTCATTCAAAAGGGTTTAGCAAATCTGCAAATAGCTTTCCGCGCCGTGTGGTGAGACCGGCAGGATCGTATCGCTTCCCCGTGCAGTCATTGCCTTATTCGGCGTTATTAGGTGAGATCATGTTGCTGCAAACATGCCCATTGTTGAGAGCCTGTTTGTCCCCAGCCGGAGCCGGGCAGAGGGGCTGGGGGGCTCAGCGGGTGCCCCGGAGAGCCGGGGGGTGGCCGGGCGAGGGTTGTGCCCGGCGGCAGCCGCCGCGGTCGGGCAGCGGGATGGGATGGAATAGGACGGAATGGGATGGGATGCTCCGGGCGATGCCGGAGCCGCCGCCGTTCGGCGCCCTGAAAACACGCTGGGGCGCCGGCTGCGGGCTCCGCGAGCATCCCCGTCCTGCCCCCGAGCTCCCGCAGAGCCGATGCCCAGTGACCGCCGGCGGATCGGGCTCACGGGGCTCTTTCCCCCCCAGTCGGGAGCGGACGCGGTCTCCTCTCCCCGCGCAGGCGGGTATCTCCCCGCGGCCGCGGGGCGCTGGGCACGGCGGGGCCGGGGGCTCAGGGCTCGCCCCGGCTCCCCGCGGAACCCCCGTCCGCCTGGGAGCATCCCTCCGGCTGGAGGGGGAGCGCCACGCATAAGCAACACGTCCTACGGATGCGGCATCGCTGCCAAGACGCGAGCGCTTTCTGTCTGTTCCAACCCCCTCCGGTTAAGCAACACGTCCTACGGATGCGGCATCGCTGCCAAGACGCGAGCGCTTTCTGTCTGTTCCAACCCGGTTTTGTGTTTGTATTTATTTACTTGCTTACTGCTTAAAATAAGGCATTTTTCCAAGCCCTTGCTCAGGCTTTCTTCGCTGAAAGCACTTGCTAGACTGGGCGATTTTAGGTGCCGTACAACCTGCAGCCTGTTTTCCGCTGTCCTCCCGAGTGCTGGAGCTGCCTGCGAGCGTGGCTGGGCACGGCTTGGGTGGGCTTTAGGCTTCGGTCGCTCCTGAAGCTGTGGAAGTACGAGTAAGGCAGCATTCATTTCGCAGAAGAGGTCGCTCAGATAGTCCTCCCCTGGACCGCTCCTTTTGCTGGGAAAATAGTTCAAATTGTAAAATAATGTTTATATAACTCCTGGGCTGTTGAACTTGCGAGGCTTAGCTAAAGAGTAAAGTCCTGAGATCCTCCCAAAGAAGCTCTACAGATATTAAGGGCAAAGGTGTTATCCCATTCAGCAGATGGGTGAATTATACCTTTCTGACTTCTGAAGGAGAATTTTTATCTTCTGTTGTAATTTTTAATATTGTTTAGGATGCAGTTGTTGCTACCAGCCATACAACGCTGGTTTAGATTTCGGTAGACTTTAAGAATACTTTAAAGGACTGGTATTAATTACAGTTATTGTGTGTTATTCACAGAGAGACAATATTTTGCAAGTAATTTTAATTGTGCCACTCGGTTTTACAGTCTTTTTCTACCATCCTCAGGAAGATGGTTACAGTAATGTAGTCTTATTATGTTAAAGTCTTATTAAAGAAGCCGTTAGCTATAATCCAAAAGGCAGAAAATTATCAAGATTTACTCCAAACTGCATTCCAACTGTTCTTTAAACCATGTATGAACCTCCAACAACATTTTTTGGAGGCCTGGTGCTAATTTATTTTTAAAGCTTTTTTAGAGGGGATGCGAAATCTTCTTAAATGAAGAACAAAGGGCAAGTGCTGTCAGAGCCACAAGTGTTACACCTGCATTGAGTGTGTTGCCACACTTTTAGTTATTGTTGCCAGGTGCTGTGAGTAAAGTGGTTTTAAAATTTGCAGGGAGTAATGTAGGTGGTTGTCACTGGAGATGAAGAAGACAGACAGCATATGGAAGACCAGGAGTAAAAGCAAGTTAATATATTGAGGATTATGGTATCCAAAAATAAGTTTGTTCCAGGTCCTGCAGACTCCATCAATAGATTTAGCTGGGTGAACATGTAGCCAAAGCCAAGTATGTGCATGTGTGTTTCCACTTGTTAAGTCAAAAGTAAAAGCTCAACTGCTTGGTGCTTAATGTCAGAAGAAGGAAAATGGTGGGATCTACTCTGCAGACGTTAGTAAAAGCAGAAGTTTCGTCACAATTGCAAGGGGAGCACAAAGCCGTTGTCAGCAGCAAAAGGGAAATTTCAGGTTGGTTTCAAAAGGACATTCAGGTAGACCTGCAATGTAAAGTCCAGCAGTGTGGACGTTTATGAGGGAATCAGAAGGAGGGCTGAATGACCACCACAAATGTTTTATAGCAAATATTGGTTTAAATTTTGCAATTCCTTTGCTTTGGCCTTGGTAGCGACTTCCCCCCCCCCCCCCCCCCCCCCCGTGGTCTCTTTTGTAAGTTCCTTCACCCCGATGGAAAGTGAGCTTTTTAGCTGAAATACCAGGAGGCAAGTTTTATAACTGTTATGCAAATACTTGCACTTGAATCTGATGATCACAATGAGAAGCACACCCAGAATTAAATGATGCCATGTCATACATGAGTAATCTTATTAGAGCAACAAAAAGAGTAAATGCAGTTCACATACAAAAATGTATTTCAGTGAATAATTTTGAGCAGAGAATAAATTTCAGGAAATTTTAATACTTTTGCAGAATATGAGGCTTTTGACACAAAATTACAGATAATTTACTGAGAAGTCTGCCAGTCTGAACATGCAAAAAATGGAGTTTTATTGCATTTGAAAGTTCATTCATTATTTATTAAGCTTGAATTTATGCTGTTTCTTCAATTATAATTTCTCATTTCTTGAATGCAAAATCCCATTTCACAAATCACTACTCTCTTTTTGGACTGACTAGAAAATACATCTGGTTTAATTATGGGAACCAAGTAGGTATTTGGGAACTATCTCATGTTGCCTGGGGAAAAGAATAAGCAGAGAAGGAAGACAAGAAAGATGAGAGTCATAAAAAGAAAATCAAAATAATAACAATTGCAGTCATTTTGGGCTGAGTAAGAATCCCAAATTATGAGGTGGTGAAACATTTATCTGGATCTTCATAGAATCAGAGAACAGTTTGGGTTGGAAAGGACCTTAAAGCTCATCCCATTCCACTCCCCTGCTGTGGGCAGGGACACCTTCCACTAGCCCAGGTTGCTCCAAGCCCTGTCCAACCTGGCCTTGGACACTTCCAGGGATGGGGCAGCCACAGCTTCTCTGGGCAACCTGTGCCAGGGCCTCCCCACCCTCACAGTCAAGATTTTCTTCCTAATATCCCCTCTAAACCTGCCCTCTGTCAATGTAAAGCCATTTCATTGGCCTTTCTGTTCATTAGCCTTCTTGTTCCTGAGTCTCAGCAACAGTGCCTGAGCCCCAGGATCATCTCTCCAGGAATAATGGAGATATACCACACTGCCAGCTGGGAATCCAGGTTGGGGAATGAGTCCCAGTCCATTTTCCCAGTTTATGGTTGTTTGACAGAGGGCATCATCAGAAACAAAGAACCAGGAGAGACCAAGAACTGAGTCTCCCAACATTTCAGAGGAACTTTACCAGCCCTAATCCAAAGAAGCTTTAAATCATATCCACGGGGTCCTGAATCTCCTCTTGCGTGTCAAAACCAATAAAAAGACAAGCCTTTCAAAGAGGCTGGTGATTAAACTGTAATGTTTGTATGAAAAATAAACAACGTGGTCAGAAAAGCCTGACCAAGGTGTGGTGATTACCTGGATACTCTTCCTCAGGAGCCATTCCTTCCTAGCCATAGGATCAGCCTTCCCTCCTGTTACCTTCAGCTTCTGGGGAGTGTGAGCTTTCTCAGACAACCTGAAACACATTTCAAAACACAAATACAGCTTGACTCTGAAATTGCAAAATCCTTTACGAGTTTGTACAAACAGACAGACAATTGTCACCACTTAAAAGTTTTAATAGGAACTGTGATGCCTAATTTAGTTACTAGTTTTAAAGCAGCCAATTTGGAAGATAAACAATTGTTTTTCTCAGACTTGGAGTTTCTAAAGCTCAAAGTTTACCATGTGAAAGGAAAAAAATCCTCCAACCAGTAAAACACAATGCAAATGCTTTTTTTCCCTTTTTAGGTAGGCTGGAATTCTAAAATAAGCTTATTTATGGCACCCAAGCAGAGCCTTTGATTGGCCTGGCCAAAAGGAGAGACCTTCTTTTATACTGTCAGAATTTTTTGATGAGGACACACTGATGCCATATAACATGCAAAATGTGCCTGTTCCTAAATTGCTGTATTTTTAGCTTGCTTTTCCAGGATGATCAGAGGAGAGATTTGTGTATGTCCTCATTGGCAAAAGACTAGCAATAAATCCTAAACAAGAAGCGTGATTGCTTTCCAAGAACTTGGCTGCAGAGCAATTGGAAAAAGGGCAGTAGAACAATGAAAAGCATATTTTGAAGGAAAGAAGGTGTCTGTAGTGACAGCCAAAACCCCATGGAGAATATGATTGTGGCAACTTCATTAACCAGTGCATTGAATGCAGAATATAAGGTCCTCTCCTCCATCCCTTGACATAAAAACAAAGTGCTTTGTAAGGAAAACGTTGTCTCTGTAAGCGGAGGAAGTATGCATGTGGTGTCTCAGTTTAATTTTCTTTTTAGAGCTCAAGAAAAGCTCACCATTGTAATAGCTTTAAAAATGA